CCCCTGCATCGGCAGGCGGACTCTCAACCACTGCGCCACCAGGGCAGCCCAAGCAGCCTTCTTCTTTGCACAGACCCCACAGGTCCTTAATCTGCCACTAATATACATGGTGAATCTCCAAGGGGATAGATTGTAGGTAACATTTCTTAAATTTTTCGCCAAACTTTCTCAGTGGAGCAGTTTTCAAGTACCATCTCTGCAAAATACACTTTGGAAGATGCCAGCGTAGGTCATAGGTATATTCATTTCATTCTTTTTTCTCTAATTGCGAAGGGAATTGAACTGGTTGAAGTGCGTGGGGTTGCTAAGATGTGGGTCCTTGGGAGCGAGGGCGTTCAGCTTCAGAATCTGTTGGAATGAGTGCTTCCTGCTCTGAAACACCTCTCTCTCTCCTGTCCTTACAGCTCCCCTTTGAATTGGAGATTTACTACATTCAGCATGTTATGCTCTATGTGGTACCCATCTACCTGCTCTGGAAAGGAGGTAAGGCCAGCAGGCCCCGCCCCTGTGCCATCCCGACACCTAGCGTCACCCTTCTGTTTGGGGCCCTCACCACCTCTTGGGTGCCTATCAGGATCTTGAGGTGCTGCCTGGCTGGGTCTGTGCAGATACCAGGCAGTGGGCAAACGGGCACAGATGAGGCCCGCAAAGAGCCTGGTGGCTTTCCAGAACCATCCTTTGTGTGGGTGAGCTCGGTGCCACTGATGGCCTGTCCTAGGGCCGAGGCCTCGGGCTCTTCGTCCATATGGTGGCGTTGGGTTTCACGGAGCCTCACGCACTCTGTCACTCGCTTCTGCTTGTGCCTTCTCCCGGCCTCAGTGTGCAGCATAGGATAGAAGAAGGGAAGGACCTTGTGCTTTTGTTCATTATACCCATCCTCTCAGAACTAAAAAAGGTATTGCAAAGGGCAAGAAGTCCAGAAACTGGGATTATGGGATTGAGGGAAGAGGCAGGTGAAAGAGCAGTGACCTTCATGTAAAACAAAACATCGAAAATCTTCATTTGATCATGAGGGGAGAGACCGCCAGCCTGGTCAGGAAGTTGATCTCTTTGTGACCTCACAGTGACCCTTAAATGATCCCCTCCCTCTGCTGTGTAGTAGACAAACGAGAAGGGGAGACTGGCTGTGAGAGCCCCCTTCTCGACGTTCTGACCTTCCCGGAAGGCACCGTACCTGGAAATCATCCTCTTCTAGTCATAGCCACCAGCCTCTCTATCTTGGTTGCTGGGACTTTTCTGGGAGACCAACCTTACCCCAGGCAGCAAGGGTTTCATTTCTATCACGTGAAGCCACATGGACCCTAAAACCCACTGGGAGATCGTTTGGAAGTTGTGCTTCCTCTAACTCAGGAATTCTAGCAAATCTTAAGAACTCCTGGCACGAGGGAGCCTCAAGGACCAGTCAACTGGGGGACATGCTGGAGGATGGGAACTGTTGCTCTCCATGGAGTCTACTTACAGTCAAGGGTCCCTGGTTTCTGTCAGTTAGGACTCTTCTTAGGACCTGTCTCTAAATATTCTTTGAGGCTGTCTTTACCCTGTATAGCCACTTGGGGTCTCACACTGTCAAAGAAGAGCACTTCCTTTTAATTTGCACTAAACACACTCTTTTTCCCCACTGAGCTTTAAGAGAGGTCTGACGTTCCAATATCTAGGTGACCTGTGCCATTTCTCAGGTCTGTCCCCTGTGGCACAGGAAATAGCTTCCTAATAATATGTCAAGTCTCAGAGATACACTCATTCGGAAGGGAACCAGGCGGGAAGCTGTCCCAGGGCTCCAGAGCCCCACCACTCATGGTTCCTGGTTTCTGAGGTGTGGGATGCAAGTTCTGGCCAAATGTGCATGGCTATTAGTTAAACCTGTTTGTGCTCTGAGGTGCCATAAAAGTCTGTCAGTTGGCCGAGCCAGAGTGGCCTGACACGGAAAATACCCAGTAGCCTCTATGTGCCCCGCCTCTTCAAAAAATCCCACCATCTGGGAAGCTACACTTTCTAGAAGTGGCTGATTCCACTGCAGCCTTCTATTGAATCTGTTGCTGCACTGTTTGGGGGAACTGAGCTAAGGAAGTAGGGATTCCAAAGTCTTAGTTCCAGTTTACTTATTTGTTTACTGTGAGTGAGCCTTTCCGCTCTCGTCTGGTGCCTGGCCTTGAAAAGAGGCTGTAATAGTAGTAACAGTAATGGCAACCACAGTGTAACTATCAATGCCTACTTTTTATTGAGCGTTTTCTGTGCAGGATACTGTGCTAGGCATGTTTTGTGTATGTCCCCATCACAGCTAACCTGGTGAAAAATCCTCCTACAGAGGGGAAAAAAAAAAAAATCAAGGCTCAGGAAGGTTAGGTACCTTGCCCTGCAGCTTGGATTCAAAGCCTGGCCTTGATTCTCTCACACACCATGTTGTCCTAAAAGACAGATGTGTGTCTCCTGACCACATCAGGCTGGGAATCAGCCCTCCAGCCTGCCCTGCTTCGGCCAGTCACTCAACACAGACAGGCGTACCTCGTTTTATTGCACTTGGCTTTATCGTGGTTTTTTTTTTTTGCAAATTAAAGGTTTGTGGCAACCCTGCGTTGTCAGAGGATGGTTAGCATTTTTTAGCAATAAAGTATTTTCTAATGAAGGTATGTACTTTGTTTTTTTAGCTATAATGTTATTGCACACTTAATAGACTACAGTATAACGTAAACGTAACTTTGATATGTGCTGGGAAACCAAAAAAAATCATGCGGCTCACTTTATTGCGCTATTCGCTTTATGGCCGTGGTCTGCAACCAAACCCGCAGTAACTCCGAGGTGTGCCGGGATTTGTTCAACACCTACTATGTGCAGAGCATTTGCGCTAGGGAATCAGAGACGAACCAGAAAGGCCCAGTCCTTCCACAGGGAGTCCGTGTCTGAGAGAGAAGACAGACAGGTGTAATACAGCGTGACAAGTGCAACTGTGAGAGCGTGATAGGATTTCCCAAGCCTTGTTCGCCTTCCCTGCTTTACCATTTCTGGGCTCTTGTGTGCTCTTGGCTTCCTTTCTGGCTCCTTGCTGTCATCTGCTGTTCACTTGGGGGAAATTATGAGCATATAGAGGAAATAAAAAATCTGGATTTCCTGAGGTTGGTTTTACCTTCACGTGAGCCTTGGATGTAGGCCTTGCAGAGGGGGCGTGGATCTGGAGTGAACAGTGGGAAGAGTATTCCCTGAAAACCAAAAAGCTGAGAGTTTGGGGCTTCTCTTCCCTAATGAAGGTCTTGTAATTTTCCAGAGATAGCTGGCTCAGGAGTTTTTACCCAAGGCCAGACAGCTCTCCTTTATGTACCTCCCGTGCCCGGGAACCCTGTTTCCCTGAAAGGCAAGGTACTGCTTCTCCTGTGGTTTGGGGGTGTCTGGGGGGTGCTGAGCGGGAATCTCATTCCCCCCTCATTTCTGCAGCCCTTCGGCACCACCGCAGTAAACGTGACCTCCCCTGTCCACACTGCTCTTTTCTTCCTCCAGCCGGGCTCTTTATTTCTCTTTCCTTTCCTCCCAACTCTGACTTTGGCCATGTGCAACTCCACCCTTACCCCCAGCTCTTCGCAGAACACAAAGTCCTCCCAGCTCTTGCCTGAAACTCCCTTTAACGGAGGCTGTTCTCTCCGCTTGGCGCTGTGTGCCGCCCGGCTCTCCACTGTCTCTTCCAGACCACTGTTTCGCCTCTGCCTTCTGTGACAGTGCTTTCTCCTCTACCATCGCTCTTTCTCACTACCACCACCACCTAAACCTCTTGGTCACTTCTCCCACATTCCGCCATGCCTTTGGCCCATGGCTCTCTCACTGTTTTCATTACAACTCTGGCCAGCATCCTGAGAGCCTTCCGGTGAGGAGCACTCATCCCACCCCCAGCTTCTCAAGGTCTGGGCTTCTTAATTGCAGTGGCTTCTGCATCCCCTTTAGCCACCTGGCCCTTGCTTTCCACTAAAACTCTTCTATCTGAGATCATAAGCCTTTTATGTCCTTTTCTTTGACCCAAATATCTACTGCTTTCAACCTCCCCTTTTCCCTGGCCAGCTTGTGCCACTATGACCAATTACTGGAACTTTCCCTTCACCAGCTCCTGAGACTGTCTCACTCCCTTGTCCCATCCACTGGGATTAGTGTCTAGTCCCAGTGTCCAGTCTTGGTCTACTGAGAAAATCTCTCAGATCACTCAGATTTGGGCCGAAGAAATCCCACGGTCTCTGTTATAATTGTGCTCTCAACAGCATCGCTTGCTTATTTTCTATCTTTCACCGGCTCCTCCACACGCTGCCCTCAGAAGTCATATGCCAAAGCTTTACCGCCCTCCCCAAACTTCCTGTCCAGTCTATTCAAACTTCCAGTCCTCTCCACTTTCAGTAGATGTTCTCCCAATAAATGACTGGGGAAATGCAGACTTGCTGGTGTGAATTTTCCCGCAACGACCTCTCTCCACTTGATAGGCTTCTTTAATCACGCCCATCCTTAGGTTCCTCCCTCCCGTCTTGGAGGGAGTGGTGTTCCTCCAGCACATGGCTGGTCCCACACCCCGGTGTGGTTGCCTCGCATCCCTTCCAGCTCCTCTGGAACCTCATCCCATCAATAAGTCCCTTGTTTATCTGGATTTTCAATGCTTCACTACTGGCTTTTCAGTCTTCTCTATTCTAAAAATCTTTAACTCCACACAACTCCATTTTTCATCCTCCCTGTCAGCTAAGCATCTTTAAAAAATAGTCCAGGGCTTCCCTGGTGGCGCAGTGGTTGAGAGTCCGCCTGCCGATGCAGGGGACACGGGTCCGTGCCCCGGTCCGGGAAGATCCCACGTGCCGCGGAGCGGCTGGGCCCGTGAGCCATGGCCGCTGAGCCTGCGCGTCCGGAGCCTGTGCTCCGCAACGGGAGAGGCCACAACAGTGAGAGGCCCACATACCAATACAGGGGGCACGGGTTCGATCCCTGGTCAGGGAACTAAGATCCCACACGCTGCACGGTACGGCAAAAAAAAAAAAAAAAAAAAAAGTCCAAACAATATTTCCTGAATTTCAGTTCCTTGGACATAATAAGTTTTGCCTTATTCATTATAATCACCTGTATTATTATATATGTAATATTTGATCTGTTGAATTTTTTTTTCCTGAGATATATTTGTTTTTAAGAGAAGCCTTATACTCTCTGTGAAATCCTGGATTCAGTACACTGGTTATCTATTTTAATACACCTTAAATATATAACTTTTAAATTAAAAACAAAATGTTTATCTGTTTACTACCTGAAATCACCTCATGAATAGGACATAACTTTTTTTTTGGAACATCTTTATTGGAGTATAATTGCTTTACAATGGTGTGTTAGTTTCTGCTGTATAACAAAGTGAGTCGGTTATACATATATATATGTTCCCATATCTCTTCCCTCTTGTGTCTCCCTCCCTCCCACCCTCCCTATCCCACCCCTCTAGGTGGTCAGAGAGCACCGAGCTGATCTCCCTGTGCTATGCG